GTTGCCAACCAAGGCTAGAGAGCCCAGTTTACTCTATTTAATACACAGTTGGAAGGAGAAGAAATGGATTCTTACCATTCCCAAGAGTATTTGTGCAAAAATAAATGCAACAGCATTGTCCAGCATTTGAACTCAGATTTTCAATTCCAATTTCCACAGTGATAAGTTACACTGCCTCGGGTAATTTTAGAATTGGGAGAAGTTGCAAGGCATTAAATCTAGGTAACAGACCTGGATGATATGTTTTGCTAAAACAAAATCCTGCATGACATATGAAGAATCCATCATTGAATATGATGGTCACACAGTACCCAAGCTCACTTAAATGGCATCTCACTGCCAGCTGAGTAACTTCATGGAAAAGTCTCTTTTCACTCTTAGGGCATGTAAAATGGTTGTCAAGATACATCAAGTTAATATATTCAGTTTTTAACCTATTTGAAATGGTTAGATATCTTCCAGACAGACAATATACATTCACATATGTGTATGTTTGTGTAAGTTATACCAATATGTACATATATATATATATATATATATATATATATATATATATATATATATATTCTTTTTTTACTATCAGCAGTGGAAGCAAACTCCCTATTGAAATACTCACCACCACAGTTGAATCTGCTGTCTCTTCATCCTCCTCTTCTACTTGTCGTTATTCATCTGCAACAATCAGTTCTGTTGTACGTACCACCAAGGCTCCGGTTTCAGCCCCTCCAGCAGTGAGGCCTCAGGCTCTTGCTATAGATCGTCCAATATTTGTTGATGTCTCACACACTGCTGTCTCACACACTGCTGTCTCGAGGTTAGGCCTTCAGATTATCTCTGATATTTGTTTCAATGTTAAGATTTTGCTTTATTGTTTGCGTTTTCATTGTTGTGAATCCTGTTTTCCCTCATTTTCCTCCTACACCTTGACTAATTCAAGATTACAAATGTGATGGGACATAGCCTTATATCTCCTTGTTTCCCCCCTGTCACCTTTAACCTATAACTTTACTAATGAATCTTGTTGCTTACTCCCCCCCCACACACCAATTATATTTCTCCTACACTTTTACTAATTCAAAATTATAAATGTGGTAGGACATAGCCTTGAATCTTCTTGTTTTCGTCCTCCTGTCATCTTTCATTCTGTTTACAAACCAAATGGAGAATAAACTCAAAAATCATTGATTTTGAAGAATGGCTTTCTATTTGGTTTGTTGGCCTAAAATGGATCTCCTTCCCCTCCTATTACTTGTGTATTATACCCATAATTCAATGTTTGTTATATAATCTTTTTAATTCTTTATATCTTCATATAATGTTCATAGGCATGCAAAATCATTGATAAACATCTACTTGTTATTTTCATTATCTAACATTTCATGCCTTCATATATAAACCATATAAAGATATCAAAAAAGAAAGAAAGAGAGAGAGAGAGAGTGTGTGTGTATATATATATATATATATATATATATATATATATATATATATATATATATATATTATTTATTTAAAATATGATTCCAAATTAGACATAAGAAGTCCCATGTTTTTCAAAACAAAAGTTGAAAACTTCAATTTAAGCTTGAAGATGGAACAGAGCTTATTTTAACTCAATTTAATTTAAATAATTATATTGAAGTTTTATTTCGTTTTGAAACATGGGACTTCTTATGTCGCGATTTGAATCATATTTTTAAATAAATAATTATATTTATGCTCTACTTTTGTATCGAGCACTATTTTTAAAAAATAATAACTAAAATACTAAAGGGACTTTGGATTATTTACCTAACCAGTTCCTTCCTATTTTCTATATATTTTCACACACATATATATATATATATATATATATATATATATATATATATTATATATAACCACTCGGTCACGTGCCCATAATATATATTATGGGTATGTGGCCAAGTGGTTAGAACATTCGCATTCTGCCCATGAGACCTGGGTTCAAATCTCACCATGGTTGATTTGTCAGGAAGGAGACTTCCTGATATTATCAGACTGGAGGGGTCGATACCACCATGAGGCACCTTTAAAAAGTGCCTGAAAACCATACCATGGGTTGACCCAAACTTTGTGAGTGAAATTGGATAGACAGAACCTTTAGGGGCCATTGATAGTTGTGCTAGCACAAAGTTGCAAGTCATCATGGCTGAGGCCTTGTTCAAATTGTTGATCATGCTATATAATATGCTCTTTCCAAGAAACTGTAACTAAAGTCTTCTCAGCATAGTTGCAATAAAAACAACTGGTGGGCTCTGTGGGTGTTGAATAAACAGAAATGCATCTGAGCAAGCATCTGCAATAAGGATTGGCTAGCCACCCTAGTAGAAAGGTATCCTCAAATACGAGTTGCCAGTTATACATATATATTATTTCAAACTTTATTATAGTGTGTACTTTGTATTTCAAACAGATACTCCATTTTTATTTATTAAACAGTGTGTACTTCATCTATTGGTCGGCTTATTCCAGAAATCTTAGTAAAGATGTGTTCTCTGGCAGAGATCAAACATGTGTACCCCTTTGTATGGGGAAAAATATTTTGAACTAATCTGGTGTGCTTTATCATACAACCACAGAGAACTTCACAGCAAGCAAGTTTCATTTACCTTTTGCTTGTTGTGATATTCTCCCTGTCAAAGATGGCAGAAATGTTAAAGCCATCTTTTAGTGGTGGTGGTGGGGGCTTAAAAATATGACTGTTTCAGATGTATATTTCATGTTATAACTAGTATTTTTACACAAACAACTGTTAATTTAAAATATGTTGAAACATACATTTATCGGGTAACCAACACAGCCTACTGCATTTGAAGTCGCTTAATCTCGGGTGACCAGCAAGCACACACATGGTAGGCATAGTTACCTGGCACAAGATGGTAAATACATGCTTTCATGACCAAGGTATTAAGGCCAATCAAAAGAGGGAAAAATATAAGTAAAATACAAAAAGAAAATGAGTTGATTATTAAATAGTGCTTAACAGTTTTGAAATCCTAAAACCTCAAAGCAGGATCAAATATGCTTATATATACTTTTAAATAATTAATAAGCTTACTCTCTAAGGCAATGGTTCCCAAATGGTGTGGCATACCTCATAGGTGAGGCAGAATGATTGAAAGAAAATCAAAGATTTAAAAGCAGTTTCAAAAAAATTCATATGCCAAAAATAAATATGATTTCAGAATTTAAAAGGTTATTATTGATTACTTGTAATTGCATGCATGAGTCCCAGTATAAATAATTATTAACCAATTTTATCATTGTGACATTTTGCGTTATATCAAATATTAAGAATATAGTAACTAGTGTCTGCAAATTGGAGGAGAGAGTTATCAATGATAATGTTCTGACCTCAAATCTGTGGTTATCTCCCTTTAAGCACTTCTGTTTTTTTATTTTTAAATGTACTTTTTATCAAATAAAATTTGGTGAGGCACAAGCAAATTTTCATTCTGAAAATGCAGCCCAGAGTAATAAAAAAAAATATGTATTTATTTTTTTTTTATTATCTATTCAGAAACAAACTACAGAAATTTCTTTTAGGTTACAAATCTCCATTATGATGTAAGACTCTATCTTTCATCAACAGAGCCAGGGATTGATAAGTTTTTTAATTTATAGTGTTTAAATTACCCATTAATTTTAGCTTCTTGTGAAATTTTAAATATTATATCTCAGTAAACAATTTAAAAACAAAAAAAAAAAATGAAAAGCATCAATCAAAAGACAAAGGCATATTATTACTAACTTTGCAAAGAGTTGTTAACATTCCAAACTTTGTTTGGATAATTGAACTCTTTTGTGTTAATGTGGATGGTGGTGAATGGTATTTTCTATGTATCTCTTTTTACTTGAATGAACTGATTTAGTTGGTAATTAGTAACAGCCTTATGTTGTTAAAAAAAAAAAAAAAAAAGGAGGGGGTCCCTTTCTTTTTCTTTACAAATATACACCAAAGCTGGAAAATGTGTTGGCAACAAAATCTGGAATACAAAAAAAGCAAAAAAAAGAGTTCAATTGTCTAAACAAAGTTTGGAATGTTAATGATTCTGCTTGAAAGCAATAATCTAATTAACTTGAAAGATATAGATCTTCTTGTACACTTAGTATAAGCGTAATCTGCTTCAGTAGACCGAATAAAAGATTCAGTACCAAATTCTCAGAATAGTACCAAATACTTCCAGGTGGGGGAGGCAGTACCAAAATCTAAGACATTGAGGTTTGGTACTGTTGTAGTGTGTTAAAAAAATTTTTTAAGTTTTTTTTTTTTTTTTTTTTTTTTTTTTTGTACAGGTGTAGTAAAATACAAAAAAATTTTAACTTTTTATGTTTGTAATTTCTGTTATTTATCAATCAACAGAGTTCCTCTTGTTCCCAACGGGGCATTGGGCCCCTTTTTAATGAAAGATGACCAAGCATAGCAGAGGTTGCTTTCATTCAGGCGTGTAAATAGTAGAAGATTCAGTGGGAATTTTGGATTCACAATCTCCCCCCGCATATATACACACTTTTAGGATAGTGCAATCCAGTTTGAATTCAGTTTCCTTTTACTAGACTGGCTACCAGCCAAGGCTACAGGACACAATCTGTCCTGCTATTTTACCCATAATCAGCATAAAGGAAATAAATGCAATGTAAACAAGCAAATAAAAAAAATTATAAAAGGCAAGGTTTTCCTTTGGGAGGATATATTGATTATTTAATTCGTTGTCTATGGTTTATCAACCCTTTTGCAGGTTATTTAAAGGCAGAAAATATTTTTAGATTGTAAGATTTTTTTGATAATAATGATTTAGTAATGCAAGTCTTACTAATTAACCGTTAATTGGAGGGGGAGGTAGAAAGAGATGGATTCATACCTGTCCCTCAGGTATTTGTATGTAAGTGAATATAACGAACCCAACTGGAATTGAATCTCTGCTCTCTGATTAACAATTCTGAGTTATTATCCATTAAACTGCCTGCACATCCAAGCTCACATCACCTGCTATTCCCAATTGGTCACCCATCTCGGTACTGACCAGGCTTGACATTGCTTAACTTCAGTACTTGTACGGGAACCAATGTTTCAACATGATATGGCTTTAAGTTTCTGGAATGGTGTAAATAAAACTAAGTGAAAGTAAAGGTAACAAGCACTATACAATAGGAAGCACAATAGTATATTTTAAGCAGCTTCAAGAACTGTTCTGTCCACAGCCATTATACATTACTAGAAAGAGCCAAAAAATGGTGACACTTTACCCATTGTAATGGTTGAAACAAAGTTAGACGTAGCTTAGATTGTTTTTTGTTTTTTTTTAATTTTTAATTTATGTTAAGACTGAAAAACTGACAAAAGTTGCAATGACTTCGCCACCCAAAACATATAAAGAAACAATTGGTGATAGGTACTCAACCAGATTGATTTTGATTTATGAACTCTAATCAACTATTAACTTCATGAAATGAAACTGACAGCTGGACTTGAGACTGCAGAACCATTGCCTGAATGGAGGCAAGATAAGATACTGTGCTGAACTGAATTGAACACACATATCTCACCCATGTATGTCTCCTTAAGGCTGAAACACTTCCTGATGTACACTTTGATTCACTTTAAAACACACAGTGATAAAATGTAAAGGATACATACACCGTAAATATTATAATATACTAAACTCAAAGATAATATTTTAAAAAAGTGCTTGTCTCTCAAAAATGTATCTTCTTTAAAGCATTTTCATGAACAGCAGACAATAGTCAATATTTTAGCCAGAAGACCCTCCCTATGAAAGCATTAAAAGACCCTCCCCCTTGAAAGCATTAAAAGACCCTCCCCCTTGAAAGCATTAAAAGACCCTCCCCCTTGAAAGCATTAAAAGACCCTCCCCCCTTGAAAGCATTAAAAGACTCTCCCCCTTGAAAGCATTAAAAGACCCTCCCCCTTGAAAGCATTAAAAGACCCTCCCCCTTGAAAGCATTAAAAGACCCTCCCCCTTGAAAGCAATAAAAACAATTGTTGGGGATTTTTTTCAGAAACAACAAAATAATATGCTGATGCACCATACACCAACTAAATGATTGATTTCCATGACACATGCAAATACAACCAAAGCAGCCAATTAAAAATTTTGGACATGTGAAGATAACCAATTAAAATGCAATTAAAAATACAGCCAATTAAAAATGCACATCTTGGACATGTGAATAGAACCAATTAAAAATACAGGTGGTCTTAATCTAAAATAGTTCCAAAATGTTTTGTACAGGTGTATAAAAAAAAAAAAAAATCAAATTTCCAGACAAGGTAATAGTATCATAGAATTTCTTTGGAAGTATTATGATATTTATAATAAATTATAATTATAATATAATTTATAAATATAATAATATTCATCAGTAATATTTACTTGTGGAACTACCTTCTGGCTCCATGCTTTCCAGCCAGCATTGATCTGCAAAACCTTAAATGCAATGTCAATTGCTATCTATTGTCCTCTTGATTACTCTCTTCTTTTTCTGCTCATCATTAATGTTTCTGTTCCTAATTCTTCCACACCCTGTGACCCCTTGTGCTTTAGTGGCATTACTGCCTTGCATTTGGGTAGTGCTCCCATTCCACCCCATGTATAGTACAGATCCCTGAAGAAGGAAGAGCAGCTGAAACATGACTATAACAAGTACAATGAGGATTTTAGTTTGAATAAATTTGTTTGGCAAGTGAATGACAAAATGGAAAAAGTCTGTAATACATTTCATCCTCTAGAACAAGGGTCGGCAACCTACGGCCCGCGAAGGCATTTTGACCGGCCCGCAAGCCTGATTACCAATGACTATTTTTAACATGAGAGACGAGGCTTTTGAATTAGACTATCTGCCAGTTATCTTTCATGAGACTTCTTTTACCAAGTTGCGTTGCCTACGTTTAATGTCAAATAATGAATAAATATTTGTTATGACCCTTGGCTACATTAAAAGATAACAGAAGCGAAAGGAACGATAAAGTGAAAGAGGCCAGGGAAGGACTGACATGCAAGGTAGCAGAAATCTAAAGACAGTTAAACATATGCGCATTATACATACATGCCTCAAGAATGTGTGGATGATACCACGTGTGTACGTACTTAAGTGTATATGTTTGCAACTATTTGTACTAGTATGTATGGGTATATGTGCTTCGTTTTTGTTTGGTGTGTGTGTGTGTGTGGTTCGTTTGTGGAACAATTTTCAATAACAGTTTCAAACCTACATGTCATAATTTCATCCATTTCACTTCGGTTGATTTTTCTCACTTTGAAGTATTTTGACGTTCCTTGAGGAAAAGTAATTTTTGTTGGGTTTTGTTAGGTGTTTTTTAATTTTAGATTTTCTTTTGTTTTTCTGATTTCTCAATGTTTATTTTCATTATGTTTACATATTTAGGTTGACAGGGGTCTGCATATATAATTTTATTTAATTTTTCGTTAATGGCCTTCGTCCGGCCCGCGACCTGTCATTATAATACGAGCCGGCCCGCGGGGTTGAATGAATTGCCGACCCCTGCTCTAGAAGAACTGCATTTGATTAAAGCGGTGTTTTTTTTTGGGGGGGGGGTATTTTGGGACCCACTTGTAGAATAACTAAAACTCTGGAGTACACATTAAATTTTAATAAGAAAAAATTAGTCATGAAGGTCTAATATAGTAGGCTTAAGAAGAAAATTACCTTTTAATTGTTGCTATTTTTGGTATAGCATTCCCAAAGAGGATTAGCCATACAGTTGTCATTTAAAGGAATTTATGAAGAACATGCTTTCTTTCTTTCTTTTTCTTTTTTTTTTTTTTTTTTTTTTTTTTTAAACGAGGCCAGTAATGACTGATTTAAATCCCTTGAGGAAGGCAAAACGGAAATGATTATTCACTCCTTCTTAAAAAATAAGGAATTTTAGCATCCAGTTTAAAATATCAAATGACAAAGACGTAATTTAGATATAGAAACTATGTGCTTGGTGTGTCTAGCTTTTTAAAAATAAAATTTTTTTAAATATAAAAATAATTAATGAATTGTTAACTTGGGATGCACCTGGCTAGCATTCAGGGTGCATTAGTGCATCTGGGTGCACTGGTTGAGAAATGCTGGATTAAAGTAATGTTTTATTGATGAAATTATAAATCAGTCTATAATAACAATAATTCCTCATCTGTGAAATTCAAAGCTTTTGGAGAGCCACTATGTATGCAACATTGTGGCAATATAAATAAAGACAGTTAAGGGAAAAATAAAAAGAAACTTGCTGATTTCAATTTCTTTGTTTCAATAGTTGATTGTTAGGTTACTGCAAAGAATATATTTTGGCTGGAATCATTAAGTGCTATTATTACCCACTCTTCTTGAAATTGTTCCAACAGACAGCGCAGGTCACCTGAACATGTATTTCTACTGATTGTTATTGCAAGAAACAAACATGCACTCTTACTACTATTTTTATAAAGCCATGTCCCTTCAGGATATAGGAAATCATGGCTCTCCACAGCTTCCTATAACAGACAGTGCAAACACCCCTTTTCACGTATTTCTGTTGATTGTTATTGTAAAAGGCAAGCATCCCTTCTTACTACAATTTTTACAAAGCCATGTCACTTGAGGACATAGGAGGTCATGTCTCTCTACAGCTTCCTTTAACAGACAGTGCAAATCACCTAAACACACATTGTTGTTGATTGTTATTGTAAAAGGCAAGCATATACTCTTATTACTATTTTTTTCAATGCTGTGTGTCTTCAGGATATAGGCAGTCATGGCTCTCCATAGTTTCCTTCAACAGAGAGTGTAAATTATCTGAACAAGTATTTCTACTGATTCATTATTGCAAGAGTCATGCATACACTCCTATTACTATTTTTTTTCAATGCCATGCCCCATTGCAGTCATTGCTCTCCACAGCTTCCTTCTTTTCTACTGATTGTTATTGCAAGAGACAAGCATACACTCTTATTATTATTTTTTTCAATGCTATGTCTCTTCAGACCATAGGCAGTCATAGTTCTTCACAGCTTCCTTTCATTTTAATATGCATGAATTTTTATGACTTATTTGAAAAGATAATGTACTGTTGTCATGTTAGTTTCTTTAGCTGGCTGTTATTATATATTAATTATATATTATATATATATTAATTGTGGCATATTTCTGGCCTTGTATAACTATATACCCTGTGTGGTGGTGATGATAAAAATAACAATGATGATGATAACATCTACAGAAATTTGATAAAATGAATGTATGGGTTGCATGACAGTTATTAATACAGAAAATAAAACTGACAAGCCAAATTCAAATTCTGACCAAGTCTGTATGAAGTATACACTGTTATACTGGAACACACCTATTCTATTGTTAATAGATTCTCCCACCTATAATAAGTAGTAGTAGTAGCAGTCGCCAGTGGGCTCAGTGAGTTGGTGAGTCAGTTGATGTCGGACATTAAAGTATCAGCCACCACAACTAGATTGCTGCGTCATTAACTATTATAACAAGTTCCTAACGTTTTGTACGTCAAACTTTTTTAGGACTGACTTGGTGAAATACAAGCCTCCACTGTGAAACTACTCTATAACATACACTTTGCAATACTTTTTGTAATGACAAGAATCCATTTTTGTAAGAATCCTTCAAGACTGCTTAACTTAAATACATTAATCTTCTAGAAATATCCTAGTTGACAGTTTTTTCTTCTTTTTTTTCGAAACACAATCTTTATTGGTAAAAATAACATCATAAAGATGACCACTGTTAATATAATTATATGAAAATGGTAGCTGTTTCCTTATAAGGAAACATTTAGCATTCATTAACCAATCTAGTGTACTGCTTTTGGTTGAAATTTATAAGATCTTTCTCTTGAAACAATCTTTTAGCAAAATAGGCATTTTTTAAGTCCAGTAGCTGTTATCAGTCTTTTCTAGTATTGATGAAGAGTTTCCTTCTGAACCTTTTATTTGAAGTAGTGTAGAACATCAGCATCTTGATTATGTCATCATTTTCTCTTTGAATTACATGTGATATCCATTTTAGCTGTTTCTGTTATTTGATACAGTTCTTCATTTGTGATTCTGTAGTGTC